AAGACCTCAACTGCACCACAGCACCACAAGACCTCAACTGCACCACAGCACCTCCACCGCACCTCTGCACCACTATCGCCTGCATCCACCCCCTCTCCCAAAAGTACCACATAGCTACCACCCCACTAACAAGTCATCAAGTCCGCCACCACCATTTGCACTTTCAACACCACAAGATCAACCCCCAACACCATAGTCCTGCTTATTCTGGGATTTGGGGACTTTAATCACTCAAACTATCTTCTCAGAATCCAGAAAAAATTTGGGCTTAATTGTCTTTACTTCCTTTTTATCTACCTGTTTATTCTCACATACTACTAGGAGTTTACTGTCTCCATCAAGGAGGTACTCTGTTTTTCTCCACCTAGTAATGGTTATAATGTAAATACCGAGCCAATGAAATCATCAAATTGCATCCACAAGGCACACGGAGTTCATTGGAGCAGGTTCATTTTGGTCATGGGCTACATTCATTCTAATACAAGTCGGTCACCCACCTAAGGATCTATGACACCGACAAGCTCACCCGAAAATTCTTACCCTTTTCTGTTGATATTAGCTTTGATAGTGATATTGCTGGTGTTCGAGAATTTGATGGACCATCATTGTCCAGTAAGACCCATGAACACACGGTATCAATGTATCTTGACATGGATAAATTCAATTCAACATCTAGCACTTCTACACTCCAAGTGGATAAATCATCTAATTCATCAACAGCAAGGTCGGCTATCCCAATGCTACCCTTCAACTGATAATGGTACTCTGGCCGTAAGCGATAAGCCAAGATTAGGCATCAGCATAGCGAATCCATGGATGGGTCAACTACTATAAGCCAGAGATGCTCATGCTAAGTTCGAAAGAGCCGTCTTTGGAAGAAGAAGAATAAGCAGGCCAAGAAATTTTGGTTTTTGATTTCCCAGATTTTGGGGTGGGAGTGGGGGTGATGGTTTTTTAATTTTAATTATTTTATTATAAAAAATGTAAAGTTATCATTTTAACCTTTTAAAATTAGTCAAAATAATTATCAAAGTCAAATTAACGGTCAAACTAAGAGAAACCATCATTTTGGACTTCAATTACGACATTTTGAAATGTTTGGTACCATGGATGACACAAATGAAAGGTTTGAACAAAATCTATGACTTAATGAAAGGTTTAGTACCACTGCTACAATTTTTCTTAAATTTTATATCTCATTTTTGAATTACAATCCTGAAAAATCTGCCAATGTAATTTCCATTTCTTACAATGCCATTCACACCCACTAACCACTACAATTGTCATGATTTACTAAAACCCTAGTGACACTTGTCATCAGTGTTCTAAAAAGTGTAAAGCGTAGCGTCGAGATCGAGAATCAAGAATCACAAGTTTAAGTGGGTCAATGCGGAGAATAAGCGTCATA